CTCAGAAAGATCCCAGTGCCCCCACCAGGACGCAAAACAGCAACCTTCTTGCTGCGAGGCAACGATGCTACTAACTGCGCCACCTTGCAGCCCTACCTATGATCAATAAACATATTTACAAAGAAATATCTTTCCTCTAACGAACGAGATCACACCTGTGGGTCTCTCACAGAATACTTTCGCCTTTATAGCTCAAGATGACTTCTAACTAGCTGAGCAGTTCAGTTATAAGTGACGACACACTCCGCAACAATGCCATCGTTTGATGTGCCCTAATTAATGTCAGACAGTGTGTGAATAACTCAGTAAAGCAGATCTCAGGTGAGCAGGTTATTGACAAACAAACACATTGCCTTCCGCAGCTGACCGGAGTGTGATAATCTGCCACGCCATGACTTTAAACAGACAAAAGTTATTACTGGAATCAATTTGAGTGAATTTTGTGAAGACGAAAAATGACGACATTATTCTATGGCAATAAATGGGTTGTTTTACTGTAGGTTATATTGGAAATGATTCGGGACTTTGATCAATTTTTTATGATTATAAACGGGATATTCTATAAAGCGGTATGACATTAAGTGTGCAGCACTGTACTTGTCAGGTGGGAGGGGCTTAAGACGACAGGGGTTTGCAGGTCGGAGTGAGTTTTGGTGTTGGTTAAAGCTGCAGACAGCAGAAATCTGGAAAAGACAAAAAGAACAACAGAATTTGAAAATACAGCCCTCGTCCTGTAGCTCTTTTCTCTGTTTGCGCTTAAACCTGTCAATCTCAATGTCACTATTAAGATTTAAACCCTGCTCCTCTGACTGAAAGTTTGTTCTATTGCACCGCCATGTAACACTGCAGAAGTTTCCTCTCAGACCACTTGAATTACAATACATAGAAAGTTTAGTACGGAATTCGCACCCAAAGAATACTGCTTACTCCAGCTTTATTGCATATCTTTGGCTCGCTTAACAAGTCAGGTGGGTGCTTGTATTAAAAAATAAATAAATAAAAAGCCAGCACATCTCTGTTGAGCAGGTATAGTGCTGGAAGCTGATTGTATTAGAATGCTACCAGCACACACAGACCCAGTGAGACTGAAGGAAATGTCAATCATTTTGCAGATATTTGGTTTCATACCAAAGTTTTTGGACAAGATAGATGTGCCAGAGGGAGGAAAAAAAGTCAGCGGAGTCCCAAAATCAGCAGGATTCTTGGCAGCACTAAATGTCATGAAAATTAATTTAATTGTCTCATTCTGGATGAAACTGGTGGATTAACATCCCCTAAAACCATGCTGCTCCAAAAGTCAGTACCACTACATAAATCAGTCCTGCTCGTTTCTTTGCGATGCTGTGACCTGTTACAGACGTTTTTAAGGGGTACCCAACACAATATAAAGAGTGTGAGAAAACAGTATTATCCGTTTCTTATTATCTGTGCATGTAGTCACATCTCCCACCATTAAGGCTTAGTGTCACTTTAACAGTGCATTTTAATGATCTGTGCATGTATGCATGTGCTGGCTCTATAATGGATGACGTGGTTGTGTGTTTAATAACTGGAAGCTGAGAGATATGTAGAGATTCAAGAGATTATTATTTGAAATTTAGGGACAGTCACTCATAAACAATGTGAATGAGATGAAATCTGGTTTCTGCTGGGGCTGAATTTAAAACAGTTTCCACTGACGATGCATATGATTTACGAAATATGTAAACGAATGCATCCACCAGTCCCTGTTTTACATGCAGTAAAGCAAAATGTAGTTTGGCAGCAGTCCAGAGCCAAGAGTGAGATTGTTCATTTTTATTTGGCAGTAATCCCTATCACAGTGTGAATTCACTTTGTTGGACCAGATTTGTATCAAAACATCAGAATGAGAATCAGTCTACTCGCTCCTGATGAGTTGTGGTGCTGCTTGGTTCTGATGCACTGCTGTGATGAATACACACTTGAGTTGCAGGTAAATCAAAGCATGTTTGCCTTCACATGATAATGCAAAGATTCAATTCTTTTATCCGTAAAATTTTCTGCAAAACATGAACAATGGCATGGAAAAAAAAATATTGACGACCAAACCCTGAATTATTAAAATCACAAGTTGTGGGAAAGAAATCTCTCCCAGTCATGATGTTGTTGTTTTTTTTCCCTCTTCTTACTCGTGCTGACTAACACAGCTTGGTTTCTCAAAGAATGAAATCGAATTCCTGTGGGATCTTTAGAGGAGACGTTTGCTGCTGGTGAATCTGCCAAAAAAAAAAACTTGTGTGAATGTTGTGCGCCTAACAGGCAGTCCGGTCCTTTCAGGATTTACACCTGGACCGGGGCCTCCGTCGCTCAGCTGCACAGCCTTTTTGAACTGGCTGATGTGCAGAGGCAGAGCGCATGATAAAAGGCTTGCAGAATCTCACAGCTCGCCGTGAATGAGCCCGCTTTCAATGGGAACAATTCAAACATGTACAGTATAGCTCAGCGTGCACATGATGCTTCACAGTCTGAATGAAGCTGCAGGGCCTGCGCTCATTCACCCTGCAAAGGAAAGATACTGAATCACTCCCGCAGCTCCCGGTTTGCACTTTAGCAGCACCTGCGGAGAGGTCAGCAGCAGGGATTTCCTCTTTAAAGTTCAGCGTAGTGCATCGACGGAAAGAGATCTGCAGTCTGTCATTACGCGGCACTTTATCCCCACTTCACCCTGACTAGTGGATGATAGGTTCTCATCAGCTCTTTTGTTTTCCACAGTAAAAACACCTGATCTCATCTGTGGTCTCTAGAATTGTCAAGATGTTTTTTATTTTGCTGAATAATGAGCCTACCCTTCACGTCATCAACACTCATGTTTTGTGTGAAAGAAAGGTTCAGCTAATGGTTTATATTTGAGTCCATTACCCGTCATTTGATCCCCTCTCCTCGGCGGGAATCATGTTCTCCGGCAGGCCATTTGAGACGCCGGCGTCAAGGCAGCTGTCCTCCATTACAGATAAACATGGCTCTTCCCTCTCAGCTCCATCTCTGCCTCTCTCCGTGGGTCTGATAATGAGAGGACAGAGCAGAGGGGAGGATCAGTCAGTCAACATGCTGTTTATCTGCTGCCATCACAGACTGTCTGACAGTCACACGCGTTTGTCTTCTGCGTTGGAGTGAAAGCTGGAATAAAAATTTTCGGTAGAGCGCTCGACGCACCTCGTGTCAGTGGTTATTGAATGTTGGTTTGTGTTTCCGTGAGTGATTAGTCTGTTTCCTTTTGTGTGTGTTTGTGTGTGTGTGTGTGTGTGTTTGTCGTGTGTGCGGCGAGCTCAGGTGCGCAGTGTGAAATTGGAGCAGGAGGTAGAGAAGAATAAGATCCTCTCGGAAGCGCTGCAGACTCTGGCCACGGAGCACCACGAACTTGAGCAATCCGTCGTCAAGGGATCTTCACCGCGCAGTGCCCTCAGCGAGGATGAGTTCCACGACGCCGTGTCTGGTGAGTTGACAAGTTATCAAACACGCTTTCGGGACGCACAGGAGATTCTGTGACAAAGAAAAAAAAAACAAAAAACTTCGCGCTCACTGCTCTGTCCTTCACCTGTAGGACACCGGAATACTTTTTCCCGCCACTGATTGTCTTTGGTATGTTTTGCCGCTCCTCGAGACTCACGTGTTGCCTGGTTGTGTTTGGGGGGGGGGGACAAAAAAAAACAGACTTGTCACATGAATGAGTGCTTTTGGTGTGAAAAATATAAAACCTGCATGATGTTGAAATGATGTTGAAACTTTTTTTTTTTTTTTAAAACGGGCCTGATGATGCTTGATGGTTTTTCAAAAAGGAAGCTTGTTTGCACTTGTTTTGAGTTTGTTGAAATGTTTTATCTAATTCCACACCTGACACCTTATGCAACCCGCTTTGTTTTTTTTTTACATAAAAAGGAACAGAGATATGTCACAAGTTGATAAATTGAAACACTAGTTCAGGTCTGCATGGGAGATGTACCTTCACTGTTGTTGAGTAGAGCTGCAATTTACCATCGTTTTCACTGTCAGTTGATTACTTTCTTGATTAATCCTTTTTTTTTTGTTAGAAAATGGAACAAGATGTTACTTTGTGTTTCCTAAAGCCCAAGATGACGTCTTGTTTTGTCCACAACTCAGAGATATTCAGGTCACTGTCAAAGAGGAGGAAAGAAAAAATAATAAAATAGCTCAAGACTGATTAAGTATTTATCAAAATAGCTGTGAACTTTTAAATTAATCTGCATTAATCAGTTATTAATTAACATTTTTTTTAATTGATATAGAAGCTCACAATCAAATTCTAATTATGAATTAAAAATTTATAAATATTTTTTTATATATTCTTAATAGGTCAATAGAATCAGTGTACATATTTAATACCAGTTAAAGAGACACAATAAAATTAAACTGTTTATCTCACCTAACCTGACAATGGATGTTTAGTGACTAATTTGTTGTTATTCTGTACTTCAGTTCTGCCAGTTAGAGCCAGGCTGGCCTTTTGACGTGGTGTAATTTAGGGTTTTAAAAAATGTGACAATAATATCTTTGCAGACAAAATGATCACAGAGCATAAACGGTCTTCGTACAGAACAAGAACTATGACCAAGGTACGTCCTAATTGGGACGTTTTTCTGTTTAAAATCGAACTCGTCGGGGTTCTTTATTAGACAAAGTCATGACAACATTGTTTCCAAATGACCTCGGGCTGATTTTGACATTTGGGTCCTCACAGTTCGTCTTATTTATTGACCTAAACACCTATAATATCGGCCCGGCTGGTTTGTCAGTGTAGCTTTTGTTCACAATCCCAACAATTCTATTCATAAATTGAGCAAAAAAGCGGAATGTATCCATGTATTTATTTTACACGCTATAAGCAGAATGAAGTAAATGCTTGAGTGCAAGTAATGTTGCCGAAGATATAAAGTTCTTTCTGGTAAACAAACTTTTTAGAAATATTCTCAGGCATATTTTGAAACTGCAATTTCTTGCTCCTTCCACTGTTGGCTGACTTATACACAGACACTGATGCATCTGCCAACATCACCTGATTGATTGTGCTGATTAAAGGATGCTGGACATTCCATCGAACCGTAAAATGCTGGGTTTTATTCGGCTCATTCACGGTTGACGTTCTCGGCCTTTAAACCATCTCGTGGTCACGCTGAATGTATTCGTCTCCGCCAGAATCCGAATCTGAACTCTCCCTGAGCGGCTTTGAGACGGTGGCCAGCCATTCCTGTGAGGAGGACGAGGAGGACGAAGGCTCTGTCATGCTAAGCAGCCCGTGCAGCAGCCCCACCAGCATGTTGCAGGAGGATCACCATGGCGACAAGGATGAGACTCAACCCAATGGGATAACACGGCATAGGTCAGCGGTTGCACAGTGTCCCCACAGTTTCCTAAATGGACCGATGACCCCTTCCCTCAGCTTTTTATCTCGCATCAGAACATGACCCAAGGCAGCAGAGGGGCTTTTCTCCTCTTGTCAGTTTGTTGTTGTTGCATTTCTCCTGCTTTTTGTCTTGTTACTTAGCTGAAGACATTTTACAACCTCCGCTGAAAGTTCTGCTTTCTTCGTGATCTTTTCGTTTTTATCTTCTCCCTCAAGGCTTCCCAGTTCATAGTGTGAATAATTTAGAGTCGGGGCCAGCTTGGTAGCGGCACGAGAAAGAGTTGTATTGAAAGGACTGAGCTCTGTGCTGGAACTGTTAAATATTGATAAGGTCACAGTGTAATGTTATAATCAGTTTGCAGTATGATCCCGTGTTGACTGATCATTTAGGCAGCTTTAGAGTTTAGTTTGGATAGATTTTAAATACAATCATAATGTTAACCTCTAGCTTTTTCACATTGTATTATTATATTCCTTTGCTTTTAAACGCACTATTCAAACTCCAAGCTGTGGAGCTTTTTAGATAGTTTGACCCGACCAGTCCTCCGTATCTGCTCAGATTAAAAGAAGTGAGTGCACCTGATGGATGATTCCGAGGCTGCTGACCACCTTTGCTGCTGGCATTGTTTGCCCGTCTGGGCTTTGTTCCTCTATGTCACATAATCCATTACAGGCTTTTGTTGACCATATTCACCTGATGTGCCGCCCGCAGCTATTACATGTCTGGTACATTTACTCTAATGAAATGTGTCTATTTTTCAAGCGCTAGCACAAAGTAAATGCATCACACGCACCATATAGAACACATAATTGCATGTTATTATGTGTGTGTGCGTGTGTGTGTGTTATTTTAGGACCAGCTTACCTGCACCAATGTTTTCAAGAAATGACTTCAGCATTTGGAGTATCCTGAGGAACTGCATTGGAATGGTGAGCATAATGTTCCTTAGTCCTGGATTACGGGTAGCAGTCTTTCAGTCCACTGCCTCGATTCTATAATCTTTTTTGGACTGATTCTGTAATTTTGGAAGAAAAACAATCATCACGGCCTGAGGGTAGATCCTACTGACTTTGGCAATCCCGTAGCTTCTCCTCACGTGCCACAATGAGATTGACAACCTTGGTTTTAAGTGAAATTAGTTCTGCCAATGCCTGTATGGCTCTTGCAACAATCAAACCACCTTGTGCCTCCGAAACAGCTCTGATCCAAGCTGTGGACACTGGATCTCTGGAGGACTTTTGTGGTGTCTGGAACTGGGATGTTGGATCCTCTGGGTTCTGTAGGGTTGTAGGTTAAGGTCTTACATGTCTTGGTCCGGCACATTCCACAAATGCTCAATCAAATCGGAATTTGGGGAGTTTTGGGGTTGAGTCAACACTTGGAGCTCTTTGTCTTGTTCCTCGAGCCATTCCTGAGTATAATGCAGTGGGGCCGGGTGCATTGTCCTGCTCAGGGAGGATACACCGATCAACCCCGCTATTAAAAACATTGATCATCTTGGTACACTGCAAGGTTCTGCTCAGAAACCAACTTTGACACATCCCAACCACCTAAACACTGTTGCAGCAGCCTTCCCCAGCAGGATAGTGTCACTGCCACACCACAAAAAATGCTCTGGAACACGACAAACAGACCTAAACTTTGACTGATGTCCAAACCCCCCCAAGTCCCAATCTGACTGAGTATCTAGGGGATGCGCCAGAACAAATCAATCCACTAAGGTCCTGCTCAACCAACCCACAGGACCCAAAGGATCTGCTGCCCCACACCCTGAACCCATGTCCATGCCCTAACACGTCAGAGGCATTGTGGCAACGTGAGGTGGACCTACACAATATGAGACACCTGGTTTAATGTTGTGGCTGATCAGTTTACAAATTCCTTCGATGATCTTAAGAGAATGGGACATCATCACATGACATTATTCGTTTGCCAAGAAATGCTGAGGAGCACAACAAGACTCAAAAAATGAAAGAGGAAAACTGCAAATAAAACAATACGTGTGTTTATATTCATTTGATAGATGCTTTTGTCAACCCAAAATCCCTTAAACCTTTTAAACACTCAACGTGAATATTTCACTCTTAGAGGACTGTAGTTTCTCTTTGAAAATAGAACCTTATCCATCATTTCATCCTCGTGTCTCTTTCAGGAGCTCTCCAAGATCACAATGCCAGTGATTTTCAACGAACCACTCAGCTTCTTGCAGCGTCTGACAGAGTATATGGAGCACACGTACCTCATTCACCAGGCTAACGCCTCCTCAGACTCCATTGAGAGGATGAAGGTGGGATCCTCTGTAACATCCGAAAGATATTATGTGCAAATCACCCTAAACTTCCCCAAACGTTGATGTAGTTTAACTGGACTTTAGCTTTGCTTTGAATTTGGAGTGATTTATTTCAGTGTGTCATTTAAAATGTTGATCTGCTGTTGGAAGTGTGTGGCAGCGTTTGCAGTGTCCGCTGTGGCCTCTCAGTGGGAGCGGACAGGAAAACCCTTCAACCCTCTGCTGGGAGAAACCTATGAACTGGTCAGGTAGGTGGGATTATACAGCACTGATTATGGGAATTCTGGGACACATTTTGTTGATTTAGAAATTCCGATACTTCAGCTGTATATATACATTAGCTGAACAAAGATGCACAGCTGCATCCTTATCCGTCCTCTAACAGCTGGTGCTTGCTGTTTCCTCTTTCATCCCAGAGAGGATCTGGGCTTCAGGCTCATATCGGAGCAGGTGAGCCACCATCCTCCCGTCAGCGCCTTCCATGCTGAGGGTCTGAAGCAAGACTTTGTGTTCCATGGGTCTATCTACCCCAAGCTAAAGTTCTGGGGCAAAAGTGTTGAAGCTGAGCCAAAAGGCATCATCACACTGGAGCTGCCCAAGTAAGAGCTTCTCGCTGCATCTGCATCCAACTGTAGCTTCTGTATGACAGGTCCTGGAGCATTTCCCTTAAACTATTGCTTTGTCTTCAGGCACAACGAAGCCTACACATGGACAAATCCCACATGCTGCGTTCACAACATCATCGTGGGTCAGCTGTGGATTGAGCAGTATGGAAATATGGAGGTGATCAACCACAGGTAAGAACGGAAAACGACTCACAGTTAGAACGTTTTTGCACTGGTGAAGCGTTCGCCATCAGAATATGACAAACGCTCCAAAGATGGGCCCAATTCATCCAATCTGCTTCAAATCGGAGACTCTATTTCCTTTGGTACCCAGCAATACACCTGCCAAGTTTGAAGCAAATCTAATGTACGGTTGTTAAAACATGCAACAAAAACCTCCATAACAAGATTTCTGAATGTATTAGTTAGCCGTTTATTCGTCACTATAATATGGACGAGATACGCGTCTAAATTAAAAACAAATGTGATTAATAAAATGAAACACATTGTTATGTATGCATGTCCTGTGTCATAATTAAATTAACAGCTTATTGTCTTTGACTGACTGAACTGTTAATTAAAATCAAATCACAGACTACAAAGAGCTCTGCTGCATTTTAGTTTTGGCTTGTAGAGAGCAGCATTTCCAAAGCTAAATGCAAATCACTGTCATTAGCTTTCAAAGGAAGTTGCAGTAGAGCTTTCTCTTTTGTGAGATGGAAACTCATCATCAGTTCCAAATAATTTAATTTTTTTTTTAAAGCAGTCTTATGTATCATTTTGGGGAGATGGTAGAGCCATCTCACATTTAAACAGTTTACTCTGAGCTGGGCAGCCAGAGGAACCTACTATTAACAACTAATTCCTGTTTGTGTCTCCATGACAGCCGTCAGCCGAGCCCGGAGGCATTATGTTTTCAGGTTGTTTGTTCGTCTCTTCCTCATGAACGCAGTGTCTCTTGAAAACCTGACGGGTGTTTCTTCAAATTTGGCACAAGCATTAACTTGGACTTGAGGATAAAGTGAAGGTTATTGTGATCACAGTTTGGCCTGAGCATAAGTTCTAATGATCTAAAATATCTAATAGAATAAAATAATGAAGTGATGACATGTTAAGGTCAAAGGTTGAGTGACATGAATATAAACTTAATTGATTACAGGAGGCATCCAACAGTGATGCAGGTCCTTTTCACACATTTTTCATTTCATTGAGTCAAATTAAATACGTCCATATAAAAGAACAAATGACATTTTTTACCTGTTAAATCTTCGAAAACACTATAAATATTCTAGACTAAAGTTTCGGGTAGTTATCAAATCCAAAAAGCCTGATATCGTTGAGGAAAATGTTTTGAGGAAGTTCGACTGAGCGATTGAGGAAGTTTTATGACTCAGCCAGCAGAGAGTGAAAGGATAATATGCTGTTTTTCTCTCTTTTCAACCAGAACTGGCGAAAGATGCTGCCTGAATTTTAAACCATGTGGCCTTTTTGGAAAAGAATTGCACAAAGTTGAAGGCTACATTCTGGATAAGAGGTACAGTGTGACGTTCAGGAAAGAAAAGAAAAAAGCTCTTTGAAGTAATGAGACTTCTCATTATTCTAGTCTTAGAATGGTGAGAAGAAGAAGCAACTCTTGTATCCTTCCATTCAGAAATCACACCTTCGCACATTGGATTATTCATCACAGACTTTTTTTTGCATATTGTAACACCAGAAAACGCTGCGAGTGTCTGGAAAGATTAGTTTCCTTCAGTGTGAATGTGTCAAACAGCTAATTTATCTGCCTGATGGTTTCCAAATCATAGATTCTCCTTCAGCCGTATTTTAGAGCAGATGTGATTCAATAAGCTGCTTAAATCAGGACCTAGAAAGTAAAGTGGCAGCCCCCCGGGTAGGAACATTTCTAAGTTTGAGTGTGACATTACTAAATCAAATAATCATGCAAACGAATGCAATGAATTATTGACAATTCACACAGTTAATAATTCATTGTGGCGATAATCGCCTCGTGATGGATCGGGGCATCGGTGCAAAATGAAAGTCAAGAGACATTAATGCGGCGAAGGGCAGCTAAAAACAGCAAACAGCAAAAACAAAGAGGAGCAGATGGTTCAATTAAACCGAGAGGGCGAGCAGAGCCAATGACTCAGCTTAAATGACTGGGCACGACTAGTGAGCGTGAGCACGAGCACACGACTGAATATGCGCCGCCAGATACGCAAACACGCGAGGAGATGGACAAACACACAACCCACAGGATGACTTTGAGAGAAGTTATTTAGCAACAAGAGATAACAAGCAGAAAAAGATGAGACGGTCTGTTTACTCAGCATGAAACTGGCTTTTTGGCTTCTTTTTTCTTCTTCTTTTTTTTTTTTAGCTGATTATGTTCCATTCGAGTGAAATTTGCAGAAATCTCTCACACATGAAAGTGCTTATTTTGACTCATAGAGCTTTTGTTAGTCAGGAGGTTTTTATCAGTTGAGGATAGAGCTGAGTGAAATCATTACTCGTGTTTGTGCCTGATGGATGTTTGTGTGTTTTTTTTTTATAGCAAAAAGAAGCTGTGTGCTCTCTATGGGAAGTGGACGGAGTGTCTGCATGTTGTTGATCCGGCTGCGTTTGAGGCGCACAAGAAAAGCGACAAGAAAGGGTCAGAGGAGAAGAAAGGCAGCAAAGCGGTACGAGTTACCGTCTGTTTACTGTCATGAGTCATCGTGTCGGTGATGCGAATGAAAGAAAACAAAGTCTAACAGGATATTCAAATCAGGCCTTGACTAACATTTACAATCAACACTTTGTGTCGTTGTTGCCTGTGGTGGTGTTCAGGGTTCCAGTGAGGATCAGGAGGAGGTTCCTTCTTCTCCAGCTGCAGACACTGTGGAGGTGATTCCAGGCAGCCAGCTGCTGTGGAGAATCGCACCCAGACCTGCAAACTCTGCCCAGGTCCCACTCATTAATGCACATTATAGACCTTTAGTGGAGCGTAAAACTATTACTTCGACTTACAAAATGATTTTTTTTCGTGCAACTGCAGATGTACAGCTTCACGTCCTTTGCGATGCAGCTGAACGAGCTGCACAAGGAGATGGAGGGAGTCATCCCTCAGACCGACTGCAGGCTCAGACCCGACATACGAGCCATGGAGAACGGCGACATCGGTAGTGGCTGTTAATAATTCACTCGAGCTGAAAATAAAAATAAATAAACCCTGGCACTGAAACGTGAAACTCATCGACGGTATCTCTTGAACAGACGTGGCCAGCGAGGAGAAGAAGAGGCTCGAGGAGAAACAAAGAGCTGCTCGCAAAAACCGCTCCAAGTCTGACGAGGAGTATAAGACCAAGTGAGACTTTCTGATCATTTTTACTCAACAGGCGATCAGCTAATGCAAGCAAAAAGAAATGCCAGAAAATATTAACACAGTAGCCTTCATCGGTGTGATAAAACTTCTTCAGCCATGTTTCTGTTGCAACATTTTCACTA